GCCGTGCGCCTGGGGGGAGGCGGGGCCAGCGGAGCCCAAGCGGAAAGCGGACTCGGTCCGCAGACTCCGACTTGACCGAGGGGTGGCCGTCCCACCACAGCCGGCTCCAGCCAGTTCCAGCCAGTTCCAACCAGCCCCTCCTCCCCGTGCCTCACGGGGCCCCCAACACTCACCATTTCCAGGTTTCCTAGGTCTCCCCGAGTCCCGCCTAAACTTCCTCTCCGCGTGCGGATCACCGCGCCGCAGAGCCTGCAACAGGGGCGCCAGGGACCGTCAAGCACAGGCGACCTGCACTCCCCAGCCGGGTGGACGGCGAGAAGTCCACGCCCCTGTGGTGCCTCGCCCCACCCACCTGCCCCGGCAGCACCCCTGATTGGACAGTTGCTGATGACGCGCCCCCCTCTGCCTGAGTGACAGCCCTCCGCAGGACCCTGGACTCAGACTTGAAACTGAATTTACTCCTGGCCTGGCTGGGGCTGATTGCACTGTATTTGCTCAGCGCTTTGTGAACACGTGGGCGCAGGTGTGCACAGGGAATTCCTGATTCAGTTTCCAGATCGTGCAAGTAAGTACAGAACACGAGGCTGTCCCCGGCCAGGTCACACTGGAACAAGAGGGTTTATGTTCTCTCCAGGTCAAGGGCTTGGTGCAAGGCGGTCTCCTGGCACTGAGACTCCTTAGAAACAGACACCTAAGGCGACCTCACCATCGGTAATAACGAGTCTGGCTCCATTTCGATCTTTGATGCTTCCCAGCAATCAATCCCTTCCTCACCCCCAGTCATTCTGCCCTTAAGAGAAAGAATCTAAGAGCACTTGGCTCTGGTGGGGAGTTGGAAGCCTTGATGCCCTTGCCGGGGTGCAAGAACTCTTAGTCTAACCACAGGGTGTGAGATGTGTTAATTATATTTTTAGCTGTACATTTTACACTGGTAGGAAATTTAATTTACTTTTTGCCTGTGTCTCTAGAGAACTCTGAAATGTAAACGACTAAATATCCCTAAGATAATGAATTTCCATTTTCACTGACATAAGAGAAACAATAAATGGTTATGTAAACTTGGGATGCATCTGGAAACTTTCTCTTCTCTTCCAGCTTTATTGAGGTATAATTGACAAATCAAATTGTCTATATTTAAAGAACACAACATGACGATTTGATATATGTATACTTGGCTGTATACTTGAAATTTGCTAAGAGTGGATAAAGCTTTCTCATCACACACATATACACAAAGTAACTCTGAAACAATGGATATTTTAATTAATCTGGAAGCACTTATATGCCTAAGTGATTGGATTGCAAAACTGTTAATGCACTTATTTATACGAACAGCTTTATGATATATAATGCACATACTATACAGTGCAACCCACGTAAAATGTACAATTCAACAGGTTTTAGTATATTCCCAGGTGTGTGCCATCATCCCCACAGTTAGTTTTTAAACATTTGGCCTCTCCAAAACAAACTCCTCTACACTTTACGATACTCCCAACGTCCCCATCTTTCTCCTCCAATCCCCAGCTTTAGAAACCCCTAATCTACTTTCTGTCTCTAAGTATTATTAACTTATTTGGGTACTCAAATGAATAGAATTATATACTATATGATCTTGTGATTGACTTCATTCACTCAGCATAATTTTTTTCAAGGGACAACCATGTTGTAGCATGTACCAACACTTCCTTTGTTTTTATGGCCAAATAATATTTCATTGTATAGGTAAAACACTTTGTTTATCTGTTCATCTGTTAAGAGACATTTGAATACCAGTAGTGTTCAGGTATGATGAATCTCTATATATAAAAGCCTAGGAGACCATTACGACCAAATGACTGGGACAACCAGTCGACTAGTCGCTATGACGCACACTGACCACTAGGGGGCAGACAGTTGACTGGCTGACCAGTCCCTATGACATGCACTGACCACCAAGGGGCAAATGCTCCAACTGGTAGGTTGTTTTTACTTTTTGGTTACTATTAATAACACTGCTCATTGCAAGGAGAGTGATGGGTGAGAAAAATATGCAGTTTCAACTGTTCCTTTTTATATAAAAAAACTATAATAGGATGCTCAAGAAATCCAACACTGGTTATTGAGGGTGGCTGAAGCAAGAGCACTGAGGGGGTCCAGGATACTCCTGTGGTAAGTCTACTTTAAACCTTATCTAACAGATATTTGCCAACCTTTTCATAAATTGTTGTTTAAAACTAGAGGCCCAGTGCACAAATCCATGCACCAGTGGGGTCCCTTGGCCTGGCCTGCGGGATCGGGCTGAAACCAGCTCTCTGACATCCCCCAAGGGGTTCTGGATTGCAAGAGGGTGCAGGCCAGGCCAAGAGACCCCCACCGGTGTACTATCAGGCCCCGGAGGGACGCAGGGAGGGGCTGCGGGAGGGCTCCAGGGCGTGTCTGGCCCATCTCACTCAGTCCCCCGGCCAGAGCCCAGCAGCAAGCTAACCTACCAGTTGGAGCATCTGCCCCCTGGTGGTCAGTGCATGTCATAGGGACTGGTCAGCCAATCAACTGTCTGCCCCCTAGTGGTGAGTGTGCGTCATAGCGACTAGTCAACTGGTTGTCCCAGTCATTTGGTCGTAATGGTCTCCTAGGCTTTTATATATAGAGATTCATCATACCTGAACATTACTGGTATTCAAATGTAAGCCTTTGAATTCTATTTTATTTTTAAAATATTTTATTGATTTTTACAGAGAGGAGGGGAGAGGGATAGAGAGTTAGAAACATTGATCAGCTGCCTCCTGCACACCCCCTACTGGGGATGTGCCCGCAACCAAGGTACATGCCCTTGACAGGAATCGAACCTGGGACCCTTCAGTCCGCAGGCCAACGCTCTATCCACTGAGCCAAACCGGTTAGGGCTCAAATTCTATTTTAAAGCACCCTACTCCCACACAAAGAAGAAAGAACAGACCCTAGAGCAGCGGTTCTCAACCTGTGGGTCGCGACCCCTTTGACAGTCGAACGACCCTTTCACAGGGGTGGCCTAAGACCATCCTGCATATCAGATATTTACATTACGATTCATAACAGTAGCAACATTACAGTTATGAAGTAGCAATGAAAATAATTTTATGGTTGGGTCACACATGAGGAACTGTATTTAAAGGGCCAGAAGGTTGAGAACCACTGCCCTAGAATATTTTGTTTTTTCTTGATATTCAGCTATTTCTTGCCTGTTTGGAAACATTAACAAAAAGAAATAAAAACACTGATAAGATGATGAAAATGATCAAAGCTGGGATGACATACTTCCGAGGGCCAGGCGGACGTGGGGCGGGTCGGAGGGCACTGACCCAGGGCCTCA